TCTACATGGGACGCTTAAATTGATGTAAATAAAAGTTTATATGTTAACTTATCTTATCAATTCTTCTAAACTAATTATATAATCTGTTTTAACTTTTAGAGTTTTTCAAAATCATCGATTTTGTAAGGTTCATATTTCGGAGACTAAGCGATGGTAGGAAATATTCTTTTTACTTATCGATAGCTCATGAAGCCTACTACAAAAAATGTTTTTAAAGCTTTTGATTTCCATGCTTCCTTATTTTTTTGCAATTGACCTACAAACGGGCACTCCAGTGACCAAGAAGGTGCAAAGGGCCAAGGTACGCACGAGCGCAAATGTTTTAAGAAAAATCAAAGATCGCACGTGCTTTAAACGCGTCTGTGTTTCAAAATGTTTTAGTGGGTAGTACTATGAGGGAAAACGAGACACCTTTTCAATTTTTTGTCACACTTTTATTAGTTCTCAGTCATTTTTGGTTGGAAAAACTTGCTGTTAAACAGGGTGATAGAGCGAACATTTGTCTACACACTGATGTAAAAATCTTCAGACAATCTCTTATCGCTCTTCAACTAGATCCAAAATGCAAAGAGCCTCATGAAAATGTCTCTTTTTCCCCCAATGCATAAAAAGAAAAAAACCACAATCTGGAGTGCTGTTTATTGTCTTAATTAGCTTAATGAGTTTAAACGATGGATCTGGTTGAAAATCGGTCAGAGATTACCTGAAGATTTTTACATCAACGTGTAGATAAATGTTCGCTCTATCACCCTGTTCAACAGCAAGTTTTATCAACCAAAAATAACTGAGAACTAATAAAAAGTGCGACAAAAAATTGAAAAGGTGTCTCGTTTTCTCCCATAGTGCTCTACATGTCAGAGTAGTTATAAATTAAGGAATGTGATATCTTTTATTTCTTTTGTTATTGAATACAGCTTATGACAATATAATATGATATTTGTTTGTTACGTGTTCATTCTATTCTAGAAAAGTAAAATAGTTCTCCCTTTTTTCTTTAGAAGGTCATTGCCCTAAGCGATCGAACTTACGGCAATTCTATAAGGACCTTACATAAGGCAGTCGATGGAAATGCGTAATTTATTAATAAGATTCTTATACGAACGAATATAAGAATCTTATAAGATTCTGATAAGAATTCGGTAAAACAGATTATATAATTAGTTTAGAAGAATTGATAAGATAAGTTAACATATAAACTTTTATTTACATCAATTTAAGCGTCCCATGTAGAAATTGCAAAAGCTTTTTTGTATGGCATAATGCAAAAAATGGTTACAAGTGTGGCATTCTGCAAAAGTTTTTTGTAACCATTTTTTGTATTACGTCACTTATGTTTTTGTATTTTTTTTGTGCTATTTACTTGGTTAACGCATAAAACATTTTTGGTTTTGATGACGTGGGGTCTGACTGTATGCAGACTGAAACCCTGCATCGTACGGGATCCTAAGAAATATACGAAATCATTTTAGGATCCTATGAAATCCTACATAATCTTATCATAGGAATTCATGTGGTTTCTATTAGAATAGTGTCGTACTTCTTATAGGATTCTATCATCTGAATCCTATAAGATTCCTGTATGAATCCTATATAACATTTGATCTCTAGGGTAAAGAGTTTATGATACTGTGAAAATAAAACAAATTGTTTAGCATCTATTTATGTAATTTCGACTAATCGCCGCTTCATCTTTGTTCATCTTTTGTTGGCTCCGTATACGATAGCAGAATGTTCACATTCTGTGCTATCGGTGCAAATCAATCCTGGTCGATCCCTCCACACGCAAAAATCTTGGAAGACAAAGGTTTTGCCAATGGCAGTATTTTATTAGAAGCATGATATCTATCGCTTACACTTTTTTACTTTTCTGCTTATTGTGGCGAAACTTTATGCCTCGTACATATGTTAAGAAAGACCAAGGATCTCGAGAAGGTTTTCAAGCTGCACTAAAGGAATTTTCAATGCCAAAAAGTATAACACACCGTATTCTACACTATATGTTCACATTTTTCATGTTAAGTTAAATTTGAGTCATTGTATATACGACCAATTGTCTCCTAAGCAAAATAGTTGATTTTAGATGTGATGCTTTTGGATTCTTTTCTGTCAGTAGGAAGAGTATTTTATGATTTACATGAAAAGTTTAAATTGTCGATGATCTAATTGTTAATTTAGGCTGTAGCTTAATCATTCTACTAATTTTAATGCACAAAAATGCGTTTAAAATACTCTATCTCTATTATGTACCCATTACTTGTTAAAATAATCGTTTTTTCCGATTTTTACAAAACGCCTAACACGGTGTGCATCTAGGCGAACATTAATAAAAGAAAGAAAGTGGGTTTTTTATCGATTCAATTAGTGATCAATATATCTCAAGACATGCTCTATTCGATGGCACAAAACGTTTTGTTACTCAACTTAAATAGCGTGGAAAAATCAGCTGATCAAAACTTAGACGGGAAACACTGTCATTATTTGTAAATTTGATCACAAAAGTGAGCGAATTGATAAGCAAAAGTGCCATATATTCTGAATCTATACACCGCCTGCTATTTATTCGTAAAATATTTTGTTAATCTGTAGTGATAACGTTTTAGAAAAATATAAAGTTTTTAAAAAGAGATTTTGCCAACGGCTATGTTTAGTAAAATGAGCACGCGCCCTTAGCACAAAGCCAAACCGGCTCAAACTTTGACAGAATATTCTCTTATGCACAGTGTGCATTTTTCCATAGGCCATGCAGTCATTTGCTATAGAAGCAATCCGAAAGCCTACAAACACTTTTTCGTAGGTTTTCAGATATTTTCTTTCAAATTCAGATATTTGCTTTACAAAGTTCAAAGAGATTTCCATCCGAGTTCTCCAGAGACTCGGAATTTTGAATGATTCTAGCCTGAAAAAAATAGAAATTACTTTAAAAACCTACCATCCGATCCAGGAGCGTCGGCGCTAATTGGCGCTAACTATGTGGACATATCATATATAGGACAACATTCCTTGAAAATTTCATCAAGATTAGAGCTTCGCTAAAGTTCGCGCACGCATTGTATCAAACACAACTCCTCGGAAAATATGCTAGAAAAATGTCTTCTTTTTTTCTCCAATTTAGAAAGTCCAAAAATAGAAATTTTTTTATCAATCGATAGCGCACTTCATGCCGATTCTGAATATATGTTTGTTTGTCTAATAGCTATGTTTGATTTTTGCGTATATTTGCGCATAATCCGATTTTCGGATGGGCATGTATTTTTTGTGTATTCTTGTATATAGGATTTTTCCAGCTTAAATAAGTTCTAGGACAAAACTTTTTTTGCCATTAAATAGAGCATGTTTCAAAGTATATTTATCACCATTAAAATCACTGAAAAATCAATTTTCATTTTTCCACCAAAAGCCGGTCTGGATGCACACTGTGTTATGTACTCTCTATCATCACTGTTAGCGAAAATTAGCGAAAACACTCCTTATCGTACGGCAGTGTTGAATGTGATGCGGTAATCCGTATTAGTACTTGAATGGAGTTTTCACTTTTATTGAATGCTTAACACTCTCACATATATCATTAAAATTGTCTGCCAATTCATACTAGGGAGAGAAAAATATTCCTTATTAAAATTCACAAAAAGAAACAGAACAGACTGGAAAAAAATCGAAGAAAGATTTGAGAATTGAGAGCACACGACATATAAATTCTGTTTACACATTATAGCAAGAGAAGTCTGGAAAGAAAATTGCTTTTATTTGACAATGAACAAAAGAATCGGAAAAAGAATTTTCCATGTTGACACATAAGAGAAATATAGATCTGAATGACTGGATGAAAAACGAAAAGAATACTAGCCATTGTAGCAATATGTCAACACTTTTCTTTAACCTTGTACAAAAGAATATAGAAAGGAATTTTTCATGTTCATATATAACAGAGATGCCGATTTTAGTGACTGGACAGAAGAGGAAAAGAAGCGACATCTGTAATGACAAAATGTCACTAACTAACAGGTAGTTTTCCAAAAAGTTTCAAAAAATCTTGGCTTTCCAGCCAAATCCCTCTTTTTCCTACTCCAAAGCATTTCTATTCAAAACCAGTAGCATATTCGGAATCAGCAAGTGAAATTGTGTCAGGTGATTTAGGTCACATCATATTTTCTAAAAAAAACATTTTCTCGAAAAAATGGGGGCAAAGTATTTTTCGCCCAAAAATTTTTTCGAAAATGCTTTGTTTTCCTAAAGCTGATTTTCGGAGCGATATACAATCACTTCTAGCCAAAAACACCCTGTTCGAGCACAAAAGTTACATGTCCGCCTGCCACACGAAAAATACACATTGCTTAAATACTATCCTGGGATTACGTCACAGCCTTACTTCCTGAGAACATTAACTTCGAACCTTGCCTTATCCTTCAACGGCCGTAAGGGAAATGGAATTCATCTCTGGAATTAAACAGTTAAGTAGTTATCTTTTTGAACTCTGTATATTTTTTAAGAGTTCTGGAAAGCTGGTAGCCATTTCTAATCCAAAGAAAAACCGTAGCCGATAGATTGCGCTTGTGAATTACCTGCACAACTAGTGAGCGTAATTTCGAAGACTACAACGCTCCTAGTGCTAGATAAGGCGTTTGTCAATGAGTTTCAGGTAGTTTAGCTATGAGATTACAGCAAAGAGAGGTGTGAACTGTTTTTCATATCATTTTTCAGTGCAGTCAGGGATCGATTGAATCAATTATCAGCGTTACTTGTTTTTTCTGTCAAATTTGGACTGTTCTTGTTTAATACTTTTATATCAATATTTTTTTCTTCAAATATGTATACTATCTGGTTTATCAGCGATCAGCTTTATTGTCAAAGCAAAATATCCAAATAAAACTGAAACTAGTCACTTTTGTTGAAAAGCAAATACAAATTATTCACAAATATTAGCTATTTTTATTACTTGCCAGTGTCAAGTGTTGATCACCAATCAATAAATCAATATATGATCTTAAACGTTTTCCTCGCTGTTTACACCAAAGTCTCCAGTCTTGCATGGCTAATATTTGCATTACAGTTTGAATAGCACTTTGTATTGAAAAGACTAATGAATAGGAAATATTTTCCATTATAAATGAATTAATATCCAAAAAATGATTTGTTGTAGCTGTATCATTAATAACTGAACAATGAATAATTGGATATTGAGAATTAGCGGACAAGACCATAGCTAAACCATTGCTAATATTACCAATGGTAATGAAAATGGTTGGTCGATGATGTTCGAACGTATAGTGTGCTAATAATTTTAAAATAGCTTGTGTCGATTTATACGTTGAACATAAACGTAAATCACATTGAATTCCAGACTCATTTAATATTAGTTTCATTCTATTACCATGTTCAATATCTTTTGATGTTGAACAAACAATGATGCAACGACCACTACTTTGAAATAATTTTGTTGTAGTAGTTAATGTCGATTCTTTATTCAGATAGGTTTGTTCATGTTGACTAAAAGTGAGAAAACTGTTCATTACTATAAATGTGACTTCAAAATCTTTAATATATCAAACCTTCTAAAAGCTAAAAGTTTGTAGAAAAACAGAATTCTCTGACATTACTTATGGATATAAATGTTTCTAGAACGTTAGTATATGTTCATCGCTCATCTCTCTTACCTAAAGGTGGCTTCAGGCATCTGTATTTGTGTTTCATCAGTTTCGTTCACTGTTTGCTGTTGCACAATACTTTTTCGTTTACCTCTATTTGATTGTTGTTTATTCATGTCTAAAATATCCCGTAGACAATCATTAATCCATATAATATTTTCTTTAATATTTTTTATTTCATCTTCATCACTATCACCATGAATACAATTTTGTTTTGTTGAAAAGGTATTTGAAGATGGGAGCTGTTGATTTAATATCAAATCATTTCTTACTAAATGCCATGTTTCTATGTCGATAACATTGGCAACAACAATTTCTTTTGTTGTTGTTATACCAAATTCTAATTTTAAGTCGATTAGTTGACAGTTTGTATTAATTAACCAAACATGTTCAAGTATATCAAATACAGCACATACAGTTTCATGCATACACTCAACTTCTGTTTGTGTAATTTTCATATTTTCAATATCAAATTTAGCATTCAACAATTGTTCATATGACCAGATGATAACACATGATTCATCTTCTTCATCATCCTCGTCATCAATAATACTTTCAGTACTATCCGTATCAGTTTCTAAATCGACTAAAATAGGTTTTTTATAGACAACAGGATGACGTTTATAATAAATTTCAACTAATGGTGGGATAAAACGATGACCCTTTTGTATGCCTGGATAACGTTTGATATACGTTTCATTCGCCAGTCGTCGTATTATCCATAGTATTGGTATCATTGTGCATTTACGAGCGATAAATATATCCGATTGGGGATGAGGCGCAACATAATATGTTGGTATAACAGCGTCACGCAATATTTCAAAAACACATATTGTAATTGATGTTGTCAATGCACCTTTACCATGGATATCATAATAAGCTTTAATCGCTGATTGTTTTCGAATATTTTTCATCATTATGCTATTGATATTTATGATAGAAGACGCACGAGATCTCATCACTGTATTTTCACTTACAGTGGTAGAAGGTAATGAATAATGATAAGAATCTTTTCGTTGTATACAAACAAGTCCCGGTTGATCAATCATCGAGTAAATCGTTTTCGTTTTGCCATCGTATAGTTTTTGACCGAATATTTCGTGTGAGGACATTTTTAGATTTTACCTTAATATTCAAATATTTAGATTGTTAATTAATTGCAGTTGAAGTTTAATGTGTTGATATATTCACAATATCTCAATTTTCTGAATTGTGAAACAAGTAATTGTGTGATGAGATTTTTAGCTTTCGTTAGATTAGAAATGAATAGTAGCAAAATCTTAAGAGTCAATTTCTGATAGTTTCGGACAGGTTAGCCCATTAGGTATATTATTAATAAGATAACCAGAAAGGATAGGCTTTGTCAACGTCGTGCACAATTTCAGTTCGCTGCGAACTCATTTTTCTGGAACTTTTTTATTTTGCTAGGTATCGTAGGTATCTAGGGTATCTTAGATATCTTAGGAGTCTTACGAAATTAAGGTATCGTGCAATTATTTTTCGAGCTCACTCTCAACCTCACCTCTCCCCCTCACCTCCTGCCGCATACGAATAACCTTGTACATGTGTCCGATACATACATATAGAATGTCATTCGCTGCAAACTCAAAATAAGACTACTATATTTGCGTTCGCAGCAAAGTGATATTGGACATAGTATGGCTTTATCGGACCTTAAAAGTTATAGCCAAAATAACGAATCATTCTCTTTTAGAGTCTCAGGTAGAACCCATTAGAAAACGTTTTACGTTTCAGCAATCGTATGTCTATTAAATGATCTTTTCATATGGATCGATAGAGAAGAGAGCATGGTATCCGGCTATGACTATTAGAACGTTGCAGCTCTTACATTTAATTTTTTTAATTTTTTTTTGAAAAATTTTTTCCCAAATAAATTTTTAATCCAGCAAACAATTCGCCGCAAAAAATGCTCCATTTTTGCCTCTACCCTCATACGTCCAATATGTTTCGTTTTCACACGAAACCAAAAAACGTCTAATGAAATCGTTACACATTTTACCTTACAGCTCCATTTTCTCTTCTCATCCGCTCCTGTGGAAACCTTTCTATTCTTAGGTATCTGAGTTTTCATTGGTTATTTCTAACATGTCCTTTCTGGCTATATAGGCTGCATGTTTTCTCATATTCTTTTACGTATGTACACTGAAGAAAATATTCGAAATGTATTTATATGTATGAATTTTTTATTGTCATCGTCATTTTCTATCTCCAATTTTTACTTGTATTTTTATATATAAAAAAAGGCTTTGTACCAGAAGAAAAAAACATTTTATCTGGCATTTTTCTCCAACATCAACACAACCGCTTGGCTTTTTGTTTACCTGTGTCATTGCTGGTTTTGTTTGGTACAAAAAACAAATTGCAAAAAATATTATATGCAAATTACTCTCCCCACAGAAATGAGCATTTTTCGCTGTTTTCAAGCATTTCACCTAAGTTGTAAATGCTGCTCAGACTACATTCCCTAAAGTAGAACCTTGAGTCTAGTCTCAAATGAAAGATCTCGTCGACTTCTACCCAAATCTTTAATGAAAATTGAGGTATCACCACAGGATCTTGAGATAGAGACTTGTAAGATACTTGGTTTTCTAGAAAACCTGATGGATTTCAGAGTCCTTCTAGGATTTTTTCGGCTATACCATTCGATAGTTCGTCAAATCTCTACAAAATGAGACATTAACCAAATTTCCACAATGTTAGATATCCAAGTTACAACTCTTAGTAACATATCATGGTCGAGAATTTTCAGACTATGAAAAGTAAAATTTTTTCTGGTGGGTTCTACCTGAGACCCCAAAAGAGAACGATTCTTTATTTTGGTTATAACTTTTAAAGGAAAGGTCCGACAAACCCTATCCTTTCAGGTTTTCTTAGTAATAGTATACCTAACAAAAAGGCCTATTCGGAAATTAAATCTCGAAAGTTACGGGCTAACCTGTCCGAAACCACCAGAAATTGACTCTTAAGTGAGGAAAGCATTTTACTTTTTATCTACCTTACAGGTTAAAGCAAATTATTTAATTACGTTTACAAAGTGAAAACAATAACTTGAGATCTTATTTAGTACTTACTTTTCCTGGTAAAGTGAATAAAAAGTAAATCTCATATTTTCAAATTTCGCCATCAGGTTACACGTTGAATTAGTTTATGATCTTGGAGTGCTGTTAAAATGACCTAGAAGCACATGACTAGAAGCTGATAGGTCTGATTTTGATATTTTACGTTGCAGAGTTAAGGAAGGGTTAAAAAGTGAAAAGTTCGAAAATTAGTTTATGAACTTTTTAAAGAAAATTCTCTGATTCAAAAATAAAATCTAAATCCAAAAATCAATTCTATTATCCTCTAGTCACATGTGTTTAAGTAAATTTAAAACTAATCCATGCTCTCTACAGTATTTAAACTGACGGAGAAATGTGGAAAATATGAAATGCTTGAGTGGAAAATACCCATTTAAGATATGAAGTATGACCAACACTTTAGAATCTAATAGAGATTAGTTCATAACTTTTAATCTAGATCATATGCAAAGATTGTCTCATTCAAATTTTCTACGACTCTCAATCGTTTAGAGTCGTTATAATAGAAATAAACTACAGATATAAACCACATTAATGAAATCATGATTTTCACAAGCGTGTAAAAATCTTTAAAGAATCCTCTGAAACCCTAATGTTTGGCAAAAGTGACTTTTGAAAGTAGACACTTTCAAGCATGATGCTATCTCTGTATTCACTGTTTAAGAAAAATAGACGATCTTGACATGAGGGAGGGTTTCATATTATCAAATGGATAAAAGCAGTTAATGAAAGTTAAAAATCTTTTGACATTTTTGTGTATGGTTCAAGGGGGAAAAAGCATACTTCTGTACTTCTCGGTACTTCTCGTACTTCTTCATACTTCTTCGTACTTCTTCATACTTTTTTGTACTTCTCCGTACTTCTGAAGTACGAAGTACGAAAGGAGGATTTCGTATTTCGTATTTCGTACTTCAGAAGTACGGAGAAGTACAAAAAAGTATGAAGAAGTACGAAGAAGTATGAAGAAGTACGAGAAGTACCGAGAAGTACAGAAGTATGCTTTTTCCCCCTTGGTATGGTTACAGAAAGGTGCACGAAAAAACATATCGAGTCGAACTAGATTTGGCTGGAGTTTTTTTGCAGACGAGTTGAGGAAAAATGTTTTTTGAAACTTACTTATAAGCATAAGGACATGACTAATTCGAAAATATCTCTGCTCAGGTCTTTTCCGTTACCGAGATAGGAGGGATTATCCGTAAATAACTACCTTTTCTACCGGCTACTTATAATCATACATTTATGAAAAAAATAACCATAAGTAGCTCGAGTACAGTATAGAGACATGTTGCTAGGTATGAACTTACTTCTCATTGGTAGAAATCGTGAAAAAATCGGAAGTCCGACATGGTTAAAACTGGAGAAAGTCCAAAATTTCGAAAATTTGCGCGCTCTCCCCATCCATGGAAGACGTTTTTATAAAATTACAACTGCCAGATAATTTAAGTACAAAGTTACAGCTGCCTAAGTAATCAATTTCACCAAAAAATCTTGCCTTCGGAGCAATAAATAAGACTCAGTTTCTAGGAAAGTTTCTAATGTCTCTTATCTCGGTAAAGGAAAAGACCTGAGCAGAGATATTTTCGAATTAGTCATGTCTTTGTGCTTATAAGTAAGTTGCAAAAAAGATTTTTCTTCAACTCGTCTGCAAAAAGACTCCAGCCAAATCTATTTCGACTCCATATGAAGACAAATGTATACGATTTTTGAAGAACGAGTTGTATCATCTCTTTTATCATGATTATATGTACCACTTGTCGACACAATTATCTCATTTTGAGAATTAAACAATACGCGAACTTAACAACGAGCAATGGTATGTAACTTTAGTGCCATCTTTCACATTTTCCATTCGAAATTTCTGATACTTCCCTATGATTCAAATAAACATCCAATCACCTTTTTGTAAAAACTTATTAACAAAACTCCAAACTTTTCTTGACATGACTTTTGTTTGAAAAAGAAATATTTAGAGTGTATTCTGACCTGTATGCGTTGAATTAATTCTCAAAGAGATGATCTATCCGATGGATTTCAAAGGATTTTTTGGTACACGGAAAATCGTAAACCGTGCACAAACATTTTTCCCAAAATTAAGCACCTAACTTGCATTTTCCCATGAATTTAAAGATATAATATAAAGATTGTCTTCTATTTTACTACAAGCTGTTTTAGCTCTAGAAATCGTGCAGGTAATGAGCAGACACCATAAATTACATGATCAATCTTTGTTTTGTAAAGGCTAGTTAATAAAACTAAAGTGCCACCCATAACACAGCTGGGCAACTTCGGCTAGGCACAACTCCAACTTCGCTAAGAGATCTAAAATCCGACTCCAACTCCGAGGAACTCAACTCCGAATTAAAATCTGTTCGTTCTTTTTCCTTCTTGCTTTTTACTTCGTCCGTATAACGGTCATATTTTCTTTTATAATAGTATACACAAAGAAAATCATTATAATAAATCAAAATTACGTTTTAACAATGTTAATTTTGAAAGTATATTCTTTGTCATACTACTACGCAGTGTTCGAAACTCAAAACCTGATTGTGAAAAAACACGCTTCACAGAAGCTGTAGTCGGTGTTGAAGAAATTTTTAACCAGAGTTTCTGAGTTGGACAAAATCTGTCATTAACTCAACTTCGGTCTTTTAGAAAAGCAAACTCCAACTCCGCAAAAAAAAAGAACTCAACTTCGGAGTTGAGTTTCCCAGCTCTGACCCATAGTTTCAAAATCAACAAGAAACTACTAAAGTTTATCCACATAAACAGATGTGCCATTATAATGGCTAACGAAAGTCCTTCATTGTCTGTTTAAAATGTATGGTTTCAGAATAATCAACGGTAGTCTACTAGTTAATATGAAGTACTTTTTCAAATAGAAGACAAAATAATTTTTTATTAGAGAGAATTGAACGAGGCAAGCGTTCTTCTCTCACCAGTAGGTTTCAAAACACTCATACATTACCTGATGATTGTTGGAAACTGGGATTAGTAATCATGAACTGATAACACGT